TTCTCCGCCGATTTCAAATTTATATCGTAGCGTAGATGCGGAAAAGTAATTGAATTTTCATAACGTAAAAAGGAATAAAAAAGCGCCCGCCGCCGTTGAAAAATTGGAGGTAAACGCGCGCGTCCATAAATGCAGATAAATGCAAAAGACGGGAGTATGAGAAATAAGGATAACTGTTCCTTGCACATTCACAACAGGTGAGAAATTGTGGGTAGAATAAAGTAAACAATGGTGGGTAATAAATATAGTTGTGGAATATTGACCTGATATATGCAGTCTCCCACTCGATTTGCACCGGTCGTGTGTTAGGCCATGAGGTGCCGGTTACCTACTATAATTTGTAAAACGAGAATACGTACCATTAAATCATTGTATGTGCGAGTTATGAATCACTCGTATCCGGACATAATGCGTTAACTAATGTCAAAAACGCGCATGTGGGTAATTGATCGGCACGTTGATCAGTGCCTTTGCGATTCGGTGTATATCATAATTAGCCCCAGAGCACGATCGGTCCTCGTATCTAGAGCCGGGAGGTGGCAGTTTCCTTAAGATTTCCTCGACATTTTGCAAATTGTTTCAGCACGTTTTACTCCGGAAGTGTCAATAATGTTACTACGTTCGTGCCTACAAGTGTAAGCACACTTTTTTTCCCGATATTATGCTCACTCGTGTTCGTTAGTCGTTACGGCTGATGAATTACCTTAGCTCATATACCTTGGTACGACAAACTAATTACAATAAAGCTAAATGTACTCGGTACAGTTATCTGGTTATCTTGGTCGTTTCGCAAATGCGCGTTTTCAATCACAATTCACAACAGGAAGGCAGCTACTCTTTACATTACACGATAATGGTGATTGAAGTGATCGAATTTTAAGATTCCTATATCACAGAACTAATTTCACACTAAACCAAAGGCCTGAAGGCTAAGCCATGCAGTCTTAGTACCTACTATAAAGGTAACTGCGTCGTAAGACCGTTTGTAAGTAAAATTTCATCAGTTGTATTTGATAATTCTATAGATTTTCCTTGTAAATCGAGGATTTAACATTTTTTGGCGACCGTGACAGGACTGACGCGTGAATTGTGATATCTAAACACTCTGTACAAGTTGGTCATAAACAGCATAAAAACTTTGGCGTCTATCCTAGATAGTGCAGTTTTCGAAGCTCGCAATAAAAATTCCGTAATGTGGATGAGGTGATTGGACCAAGAAAAAGTACAGAAAAATACTTCGTTCATATATTACAAAGTCTCTTAATGTTAAATCAAAAATTTAAAAAATCGATAAGCCGCTTGTGAGCAATAGGCGAAGAGTGCACTTTCAAATTTGTTTTTCTTCAAAAATATTGACATTACGTAGCCCACCACTCTGAGTTAAAGTTTGACTTTTTAGAACAATTGAACAAGCGGCAGTGAAGTATTTTAGTGCCTAGCAGGGGGGACTGACCCGGGGGGGGGGGGGGGGGGGGGGGGGGGGGGGGGGGGTCGCCACCTGGCCTGTAGATCATAATAATTTATAAGTATGTGCTGTATTTAGTTTCTTGCACTATTAATAAATCATTAACACGTTTCTCTAATTGGGGTTGATGTTAGGTTGTTAAAAAATTAAAAAATTCTGTTCTAATTGAAGTGTTTTACAATGAATTTATCATTTTTTGTCGTAGCATGAAAGTGCTAAAATAGGCGACGCACCTCGTGTGGATTGTATATTTTGTTACTTTTAATTATCAGCTGCAATTTTAAAAAAAACTGTATGGTAATTTTCTATAAGAAATACCGGGTGATTCATTACAAGTGATGATCACTTGAATTTCGCGCGTAAGGTTGTAGTATTTTTTGCATTGTTAGATTGACGGTTTGAATTTCGTTAGTAATTTTTTTCTGTCATGACTGTCATTTAAGAAACCAGTGTCGCCGTTAATTGTTGTGTGCCATTTGCGGTTCATTACTTTTTCCATTTTGAACAATTTTTGGAGTTGATGGCTTGATGCACTAAAATATGTAAGAAACGTGACTGTGTCTAGTGTTAGTTTATAATTTGTGGTAAAACAGAAGCAGTATTTGAAGATTATAAATAAGTAAACGATTTACTGAAAGCATGATGATACACCACTGCAATTAAATAAATGATCATCAGTTAGTATACCAACTTCATAATTTATTTGATTTGCGGGAAATTCGAATTGTCCTCACTTCTAATGAATCACCCGGTAGTTATTTACATATGAGTATGGTAAATCAAGGTTTACGTTAACGAGTGAGATGTTTACTGCCGAAGCGTAGCTGAGGCAGGAATTTCGAAACGAGTAACGTAAACTGATTTGACATACAAATAATGTAAAACATTTTATATCATACTGCTCTATTTCTATTAAAATACCATTTTGATTAGAATGTTGTAGGTACACATTAAAATAAAAGCAAAAGTCGATCACTTGATTTGTTTGATCTGACAGTAGTTTGACAAATATCAATGCATACGTTTATATGGATGTCAGTTGCGGTTGCTAGGCAAAATTTCCAGTCTGGTAAAAATTTTCAGGCTGGTAAAATACGATTTACCAGACTCAAATCAGTCTGGGAAAGCGGCGATTACTAGATAGTATGAAATAAACTTTTTTTCCGGGTCGATCTGAGACAATTTTTTCTTCGGGGCTCAAAAAAAGGCAGTGTATTACCTTCCTTTTACCAAAACCAAAAATCGACTACACATAAATTTCTCGGGAAAACACTTTTTCTTATTAATTTTGGTGCGTAGAATCCAAAACAATTCGTACTTTTTCGATCAGACTTCTCAATCAAAAGTTATAGGCTAGAAACCAATTTCGAAAAAAAATTCAAAGGGCTGTAACTTTTGAACTAGTAGCGCAATCTTGGAACTGTTTGAAATTATGGATTCTACAGGCCACATTCTATAAGAAAATTTTTTTCCGGGTCGATCTGAGACAATTTTTTTTCGGGGCTCAAAAAAAGGCAGTGTATAACCTTCCTTTTTTACCAAAAATCGACTACACCAAAATTTCTCGGGAAAACACTTTTTCTTATTAATTTGGGTGCGTAGAATCCAAATCAATTCGTACTTTTTCGATCAGGCTTCTCAATCAAAAGTTATAGACTAGAAACCAATTTCGAAAAAAAATTCAAAAGGCTGTAACTTTTGATCTAGTCGCCCAATCTTGGAACTGTTTGAAATTATGGATTCTACAGGCCACATTCTATAAGAAAATTTTTTTTCCGGGTCGATCTGAGAATTTTTTTTCGGGGCTCAAAAAAAGTCGCTTCGCTCGGCCATCAAACACTGACTCGCCTTAAAAAGTATCACTTTAGCTCCTCATACTATTTTTCGATTTTAATAGCCCTTATGAACTTTTCCTGCCTTACCGAAAATACAAACATGAAATATTTTTTAATTTCTGATCGAATGACACCAAGACCAAGTCTGTAGGTAAATGGTGTAGTTCCGGAGCCTTTGTGACTCAGACAGTCATTAAGAGCGCAAACGTGCATTTTGTATTTTTTGAAAGTGAAACTGCACTAAAAACAATTACTGATACATACTCTCGCCGGTCACAGCACACCTTATGTCGATCTACAATCTGTTTTTCTTCAGATGCGAGCGACTTCCGGAATAGGATCGTGCCAATGTTGAACGAAAAGTCATTTCGTAAAAAAATAATTTAAAAAATGTGCCAAATTCTTGACAGAGCAGCTCCCTAGCTCAAACCAAAAATCGCGCTTTTAGAAGAATACCTTCAAAAAATGGTAAGTGTAGGGAAAAACGTTTTCCACTAAAGTTTATTATTTTGCGATGTGGAATAAGAATATTTAAAAAACATAGGTTTCTATTTATTTCTACACAGAGCCCTTAAAGGAGTTATGTAAAAATGTACATACCATCATTAAATGGTCCAATATGGAAAATATTTTTTATAAATAATTTTTTGATATCCCTACTAGTTTCCGCAATAATCGACTGTAAATATAAATATGGGACACCCTGTACATAAATTTATTGACATTCAAATAAAAGATTACGAAACTGGTACTTACAAAGTTTACCGGAACTCAGAAAATATGTCGGTTACAACAGTTTTATGACGTCACGGCGCTAAAAGCTCATATTTAAAAAAAGTTTTTCACAGTTTTACATCCTTTATGCCTAACGTACACTGCCAAAATGTCAAAAAAATCGTTGATCGCAATAGCCACCTAAGCTAAAAATTCCCCTTCTGAAAAAGAACGAAAAATGAAATTTTTTGCGGCTTTATTATTGATTATTTGGAAAAACAAAGGCACTTTGCTATGCTCATTAAGAACATTTCGGTCTTTCCCAAAACTAATGATATGCAATTATACAGAGAACACTTACTGCGATCTCTTTCACTACTTCCAAAAATAGTGAGTGTGCCTTTCCTCAATAAGTCGTTCCCATGCAATCCATTGATTATGTAGATACCGTTGAGCTTCTTTACTGACGACTGAACTTACCTTTTGGTCTGCCACTGATGCTGGATAAGTTTTTATGCAAATAAATAAATAAAATATAAACTTCAATAACATTTATTTCTACTCCGAAAATCAATTGATAGGAATATAAAAGTAAATAAGAAACGTTAACATCTCTGTTTATTTACGGTAAATCCTGAGAAAAATTGCAATCTGTAACAACTATAAGTACAGTAGGTAGTAAAGAAATTGCTAAATACATTTAAATCATAGTCATAAAAATAAGTACTCGCTAAAAATATTATTAATAATATAAATATTAAAACAGTGTAAAACATTCGATTTATATAAAATATGTATATATAATTTACAATAAGAAAGAGGAAGGTGCTAAAAAAATATATATAAGTTAGTTTGCGAAAAAAATTGAATGATCTAACAGCACACTGTGTCTATCCGCTGGAATGCAAACAACACAACCAGACAAAAAAAGATTATTTTGAAACCTAGATCTAGCACATACATAGGAAACGTAGAAATTTTTTTTATTGAACAGCCAAAACTCTATAAATTTAAAGTTACAAACGAACTCACAGGAACGGGACGTTTCAATTTTTACGATCTGAAATGGTCGACAATGAAGGTTTTTTTTTATAAATTTAATATAGCAACTTGCCTTAATTCAAGGACTCTAAGGAAAGTTAACATCCATCTTCGCAGAAGATCATTTAGAATAAGTGGTTCATCCCAGTCCCGCCCATTGTAAAAAGTCGGGAAGTTCCCGCACGGGCAGGTCTCTTGCCAATGCTTTTACTCGAAGATTTCGGTCTTCAGTCAGTAGAACCACCTCTCGAAATAGTTTCCTCGGTTCCCCTACAAAATCTTTGCGATCAGCCGAGTGTATAGATCCATCCGCATCCGTACCTTCCATTATTTGATCTTTGTTGTTTTTACACAACATCAAACACGTTGCTAGGATCTTATCGTCATTTCGCAATGAGGAATCGGATGGCGAATCTTCCTCGACGGTGAATGTAAACGTCGCCAAAGTTGTACCTTTCGTTGTTACGCATTTTATATTGTTATGACGATTGCCGAGATAATCTAGGGCACGTTTCGCCGATTCGGCGACTTTTAGTACGTGTTGGGAGTCGGTCGTCGGTCGGGTCGACGGCGCCGGACCCTTACCACCTCGCGCGAGCCCTTCTAGCTCATTTAAAACTATTAAAACTGAGCGTGAGTTTTCAACCCCAACGAAAATCAAAGAGAAACTTACCAACTAGAGGAACCATTAACGTGTAGACGTGAGCGTCGACAATTGTTTTGATCTTCGCAATGTAATCGATGAAGCAATTCGTATCAGGAACTAGAATTTTTGGCCGTATTTCTATGTGTACGCTAACAACCGACTGTTGCAAAATTTTCTGAAACAAAAAAATAATGGTAGGTAGGCACACGAAAAAAAAGCGTGTCTATGATTATAAAATAATAAACTAATAAAGAACATTGTGACAGACCACCACCAATATCGCCTTTTTTAGAGCGAGGGTCTATTGAACCGGAAAATTTATTATTTCTCATGTGTTGGTGGTTCTTTATAGTACCCGATATAAAATAAGTACGTCGATGGAAGAAATTAGTCACTTCTTTTCTGTTTAAACTCGAAATAGATTTATCGATCTGTAATCGGCAATTTGTAATAACTAACAACTCCAGCAGAGACCAATTAAAATAATTGAGACTTGTAACTCAGTTATAAATGTTTGTATTACCAGCAGATAACATCGCAACATTTTGTCTGTTCACAATAATTGATTGCTTTGAGCCAAATCAGAAAAAAATGAATGAAACTTCACCAAGTTGATGTTATTCTTAAATTCTGCACATATTCCAGTTGCCTACACGAATGTATGTTCTTTAAGACCTTCCTTTGTTATGCCAAAAAAACCCGTGGCAAATTGCAAATTGTTTTCAGGTTACCTGTCAATCGAAATTGTGGTAGTGTACGTTTACATTGCGACACGTCAAATTTGACGCAATTGCTACCGTTTACATTATTTTATCGACTTTTGCTACATGAGCCAATAAAAAATCCATTAGTTTCATAGCGAACAATTATAGTAAGTCCCAATGCGATATTCTGCACTAAAAGTTGTATAACCCAAAAATGTCATCGGGTTTACAAAGAAAAAGTAAGCAACTTATTTTTAATCTTATTCGGTGTCTTGAACAAGAAACAGATAATGTTGGTTCACTTTTACCAGTCGTAGCAGTAAAAGAAGTGAAAAACAAGGCAATGTAAGACCCCGTTAGCGATGTTGATGGTTTCACAAAAGCAGCAATTCATCTACGATATGATCCAGCACAGTAAGTTATGCCGCTGATGGAAATGGACATGCGGTACTCCGGTTGCCCCCCTTCCATTGCGTTTTCAATCGCATCGAAAATATATTAGAGTTTAATAATTATAAAACAATATTCCCTTCTGCAGAGGCACCTCTAAAAAGCACTATGCCCAGAACAAGAAAGGGATAATAAATAAATAAATAGATATTTTGTTATTTATTTTATGGTTGAACCGCGAGATACCATTTCTGTTAGGTTATGCACTAGGGTTAGCAGTCTTTGCGCGTAGGTATGAAAAATGTATGAAGATGTTGTTGTTGGTCGTTACGCTCTGCTGTTTTAAATGGTACCGTGAAAATCGCTAGTAAATGTAGCTACCGCTAACGTGCCGAAACATTTGGTCCTTCGAGCCGAATACCGCGTTTTACTTGAACTTTCGGCAAACGCAAAGTCGTGTGTTATTTACAATTTATTATCGCAAGTGCAAGTATAACAATCGCAATGGCTTCAAAGAAGATTTTAACAATTCGCAAAGAAGACGCTTCAAAGAGTAAAAAAGTAAGGCGATGGCAATTTCTCAATTATCGTTACCTAAACATATTCACGGCGAATGGATACGTTTGAAGCATCCTTTCGTGTGTTAAACGTTGACATTGTAACGAAGCATCCGTTTTGCGCCCCGAAATTATGACCACACCGTATATTTGGGAAGTCGACCAGCGTTGCTTAAGACCCGGTTTCGCGAAGCTTGGCACTTCGTTACTAATGGATTCCTGAATTTAGTTATCAATTTTTCAACCGTTCCTGTAGGAGTTTTTTTTAGCCGCCGAAAACTGGTGTAACCGGAAAGAGAGAGACAATTAATATTTTGAGATTTCAGCGTCGTTAATTAACTTTTAAGCATTTGAGTGTCGAATAATAAGCCAAAATCAGGATAGAAACGAGTTCAAATCGAGGTTTCACTTTAGCCGCTTGCATGTGTCAATGTGTGTAGATACAGCAACAGTCGGTGTGTCAGGAAAATGCCAATTAGACCTCGTTGTTAATTGGATTAAGGAGTATTGAAGTTTGAACACGCCTAATTGGCTAAACATAATTAAAGGCTGACGTTTTAATGAGTTGGAGTAAAGGTTATCAAAAAACGGCCGTGAGGGGTGTTTCCAGATGCGCTCTAATTTTTCCAGAAGTTTGCAGGTTGTCCCATATTTTTCAGATAACTGCAGGGCGAGTAATTAATTAAAACCGAATTAAACTAATTACTTTCGTACTGAATACAGCGAAAGGGTGGATTTCCCGTATTCCACTTCCCTAGGAGCCGGATTACTTTATGGGGTGAACAGTTAATTTTGTGGGGTGGAATTTTGATTAGCAATTTTCTTGGCTACCGTTCCGCTACCTGCAAGGTGAACTTTTATTTTTCGTTTCGATAATTATAAAGAGGTGGGGTGGGGGTTATTTCTCATTTTTCTGCAATTGGTTTTTGTACCGCTTCCGCCGATTTGTGTTTTGTTGCTTTAATGTTACGTAATTTTGTTTTAGGTTTGCCGAAGTGTCGGTCGCCATCTGCTGGACCTGGCTGATTCCGGGAGCTACCGTTTCTCCGGTCCAATTAATGGGGGATAAAGCTAAACGAACTGAAATCCATATCAACTGTGATTAAAAGCCGAGCACAGTGCACGAGAGAAGTGTAAATACTCCAGAAAACCCTAGTCTGAAAACATCAAAGTGGATAACTACATAGTTTTAAGAAATGAGATGAAAATTAATGGTTAGTGCATTTGTGTGGGCTGCTATGCCAGGGTTTTTGTCCCGAAGAAGGTTTCTCTGACATCGCCTGGTGGTGCGCGTATTCTATTTTATATGTTGTTGTCTTTTGTTACGCACAAAATTATGAATTTTTATTCAATTTCTTTTCCCATTTGTGTACAAAAAGAACCGCCAGTTATAACAACGACTGCTACCCAGATTCGAAATTGCCGCGAAACGCCGGCGTTTTGACCAGATTGCAGTCGCTTCTCGACTTCTACTGCGGGCGTTGTTATTACGAAAAAAACAATTAAAATGATTTTTTTTAAATTTTTCCTTCACGTCGTAATTTTGAGTCTGGAAGTATCCCAATGCATGGTGCCCACTATGTATGGAATATAGTACGAGGGCTGTCAAATAAAAACAAAGGTAAGTATATACAAATATTTATTTACATACGCAGCTACAACCTTACTCTACTTTTCTACGTAATCGCCAAGGCGATTTAAGCATTTCTCATAGCGGGGCACTAGCTTGATAATACCTTCCTCGTATAAGTCCGCCGCCTGCTCGTCCAACCATGTTCTGACCATGTCTTGGAGCTCCTCTCCTGTTCTGAAACGTGTTCCTCCTAGAGCTTGTTTCAATTTAGGAAAGAGATGAAAATCGCTTGGAGCCAAGTCCGGACTGTACGGTGGATGATCAAAAACCTCCCATCGTCGGTCGCCACAGACTTTCTTCCCTGGCCGCCTTCATCATGCACGTCAGTTCGTCCTTCTTTGAACTCCCGGCACCATTTCCGGACCATACTGTCGCTCATGAAGTTGTCACCATACACTTTGCTCATTCTCCGGTGGATTTCCGCAGCGTTATGCCCCTCAGCACAGAGAAATTACAGAGCGGAGTTCGCACTTGGCGGCAGAGTCGATTGTGGATGACATGTTTACCCTTCACTGTCGTGGAGAAAACTGATCGGTCAGCCTAGCTAAAACTGCTAGTGGTGGGGGAAGCCTACTATTCTCAAAAACCAAACTCTCATTCGAATACTCCTTCCTAATTTTACGTACTGATCGATCGGAACTTGAAAAAAAAATAGCCCTCGTATATATCTGGGTGTATAGTACTAACATTAACAGGTTAGTCATCGAAAAGAGAAAAAAAATCTCTAGCAAGCATACAAGCAAAAAGTGCATTGCTATTTAAAAAAATTCAATTGTCTTCTCATTTATTTCCTGAAATAAAATCAACTGAATGTTGCCTTAGTATGGAAAATAACATCTTAAACAACTATTAGATAGAAAAATGTTTTACAAACCTCTCGCCAGGAAAGATTGCCGGTCACAGAACACTTGATCCTGGTCTATACTCTATGTTTTTCTAAAGATGTGAGCGACTTCCGGGATAGTATCATGTCAATATTCAACAAAAAGACTTTTCGTTCAACATTGGCACGATCCTATTCCGGAAGTCGCTCGCATCTTAAGAAAAACATAGATTGCAGATCAACACAAGGTGTGCTGTGACCGGCAATCTTTCCTGGCGAGAGTTATACATTTGTTATTTATTGCGATATATATTATAGTTCATAAATAGTAATTGGCGGAACCACAAAAATGGTCAGAATATCATATTTGGTTGGTCCTTGTGAAATTTATCCACCCCGAACACTTTTAAGGAAGTCGATTTCGTAAAATGAATCGCAATAACAACGGAATTGAATAACGTCCGGATCAACTATGCAAGATGAAATAGTATAATTTAACAGTAGATATTGTAATAACCGTCTACGCTAGTGTGAAATCTAATGGCAAATAATTAGAAGATATAACTGCGTGCAATTATTAAAACACGAAAGCACAATTCCCCTTCAGTCAATTTTCCCCTCGGCTTGCCTGATTCAGATCATAAATAATTCTCACAGAGAGATTTCCGCATGGTAATTTTCACGCTTAGCATTTCCAGCGGACCTACAGTTGTTTAAGGAAATTTGCAATAGCGACTGCGGGGTTTGGGATAATCGATGGATAGTCTCCCAACTACATGTTTGGGGCAACAAATCGTCTAGGGTAGTTAATGAATAACTTAAATTTTAATTAAAATTAAACTGGTGTGAAATGAAACTTGCAATTTTAGGAAAAATGCAAAATGTAATCTTACTTAGATGCGCAACATTTGTAATGGATGAATACCTGCCGACTGCCGATTTCATAGCAAATGCAATTTTTCACGCCGTGAAAGTAATATGAGATGTCAAACGCACTGTTTTAATTCTCAAATTAAGTACAGTACCTCGATTGTTCGGCCTAACGTGGGGGAGATATACCTCGGATAA